TTTCTCAAAGAGTTGACCTACCTGAGGACAAGAGTGAGAATGGGTGGAAAATTTGATAACCTTAATAATTATATTAATAAATACCTTGAGAACATACAGCTTCTTTATGAAATGTAATCTAGTATAATTAAAAGTTTGAAATTATCCCTTAAACCTCAAGTGGGGATGACTTCATATTTATTATTAAATAGGGAACACAGCTAATCAGTCACTGTTAACCATATTTCTACCATAGCCATGGGCCAGTGTTCAAAGAACTGAGTTGCCTAAGAGGACCCCACAGACAGCTATGAAGATATCAGTGAGTAGAAAAAGGTTAAGACTAAAAGTGAGGGCCATGGGAAAGTCTATTTGGTCAGAGGCACAGACATGACTCTAATATGAGCACAAACTCACCTCCTGAGTCCTGATATAATCAACTAAGAAGCCCTTTAGCTTTCCCTTCATGACTGAATTCATCAAACCCGCAGTGCATTCCATGGCCAGCACCTCCCCACTGTATCCAGGTGGCCTTGATCAAGAAAATGCACCCTGAATTAAAAGAACTCAGTAGCCAAACCCCAGCTCCAGGTAAGCTATTTTCTACCAGTCTTAGGAGCATACACTCCAGAGACACTTGCAAGACTATGAATATTTTTAATGCCTTTCTTTTTGTGCTTTTAAATGTGAATAGACCTCCAATTCATATAACAGTATTTAGAAATAGAGACCCCTTCAATCTCCCAATAAAAAAGCATATCAAAAATTGTTTTGACACATGCAAACTGAAACAAAAGCTATACTATGCTAACCAGAAACTTCTGTTTTAAACAAGTATGTGTCTGAGAGAGAAGAGGACCTAATTGGTGTAGCTTGCATTTTAGTAATGATTTAATTCATTCAGGAGAGCCACCTTCTACTAGGAGTGCCTCACATCATTCATCAAAGCCATGGTCCATCCACCTCGAGAAACTGCACCGAGGCTTCAAGGATGATCTTGGTGGTTGCCCTCCATATTGTCACATTTCAACTTCCTGTTCTACACATCAAGACCCCTGCCATTCTGTACAGTTGTGTGGGTTGTGTCCTGCAGTATATGGCCTGGGCTGCACTCAAGGAATTCACCTCACATACACCTGGAATAAAGGCACTTTTTTTGTTTGACCAAATGTGCTAGGTGAGCTAGCCAGGGGGACTCCATCATCAGTAAACTCACCTTTGAATACGGTGACATCACGGAAGCTTATAAAACAGGTCAAGAAACTTACTGCCAAAATCTTCCTCAGGGAAAGGGCAATAAATGGCATTGTTAGAGAGTGAGAGGTAAAGAGACTTTATCTAATGCTTTAACATGCAGGGTTTATTGAGCATGACTATTGCTTATCGTAGGTGGCATTAAATGACCATCACCTGCTATGTGAGAGCAGTAGCCTTTACGTTGTGATAGCACCAAGAATCATTACTGAATCAATATCAACTGATTTTCTCCTCAGTTTCTCCCCTCCTTTGCTCCGGGATGCCCAGCTCTCGGCTCACCCTGCCCGGCTGCCTTGCCTGCTGTATACTGTACCCACTGGGGCTCTCAGCAGACTGGTCATAGTTGTCTTACAGTCCCAGTCTGATCATTCCAACACCCTCGCCATGCCTGTTTCTGATGCTTGTTTTGTCTCTTCAGATTGTGATTTTTGCCCTTTGGTATGCCTTGTAATTTTTTCCTGATAGCCAGACATAATGTACCAGGTAAGAGGAACTGCTGTGATTAGGCATTAGTAACTTGGCAGTGAGTGGTGGGGGAAACATTCTATAGTCCTATGATTAGGTTGAGTATTTCCATGAGCCTATTGTCTTTGGACTGTGGACTTCATAAAAAAATTCTCACTTTTTATCTTGTCCCTTAGTTGGGGCAGGATTGTTAGAGTGGGGCTAGAGTTGGGTCTTTCCCTCCCCCAGGTTAGTAGGCTCTGACAGTACCCCAGCAGGGTAGGCTTGGGATAACTGGTTTCCCCTGAGGGCAGGGCTTGTTAAGAACAGAGTGCTCTGGTCTGTTTCCCATGGTTCCTTTCACCCTCCCCCTGCTGAAAGTATCAGGACATCTTTCCCAGACATTTACTGTGGGAGTTTGGTGAATCCTGTGGACGTACACCTCACAGTTTCTTGTGGGCAACCTATGATTGGATACCCCTGGAGTTTTTAACTCTCAGTTGTCTACATTGAGCCTCCAGCAATTTGTCGATTATCATTCAGGTTTTTGGTACCCACAGTTTCTGCTTGTGAGTCTCTGGGAAGTTAGTGTGGCTTTGGGAAGCCCAGACACCCTGTTCACATCACCCATTTGGCTCTCCAAACTCTGGGGCATCAGTTTGCCTGGTGTGCTCCCTTCTCATGGATCCAAGAGGTGTTGGTTCTTCAGTCTAATCTGCATTTTATTTGTTATTAGGATGGAGTGGTGACTTTCAAGTTTCTTATATGCAGAACTAGAAACTGGAACTCTCCATCCACTTCCTAAAAGGGAAGAATTCTGGATTTGTCACAATAAAATCTGGATAATAGGCTGATTGTCCAGATATAGAGAGAGCCAGAAAGGAAATTGTCTTTTTGGCACCTAGACTCAGAGGAGCAGGGATAGGACAAATGTGAAATAGTGAGTAGAGGGAATTATTTGAATGAGAACAATGGTGGTATGTATTTTAGCTGCCACTAAGAACATAGAATTTTGGGGAAAGGGAAAAGTATCCATTGAGTATTTTTAGGAAGTTTTCCTCATGTTGTTCAGAGTAAAATCCCTGTCTCACACCCGTTAGACAAAACAATAGAGAAAAAATTAACATTATTTCTCAAGATTTCTTTGAAGTGACTATGTTAAGGAGGAAGTCATGTGGGGTCCCTGTAATGTTTATTAGAGTTATTCCTCTTTAGAATTTTAGTCCAATGAACAGACATTCCAGTATGGAGTGCCTATCATCACAACATTTGCAGATTAGTAGGCTTGGAAATATAAAAATTCAACTGCACAAATGAAATTATTTGAGGCAGATAATTAAAGTTCTTGAAACAATGTTTTGTTGAATGTAGTGAGTTGGGTTAATTTTAAAAACTAAGGCATCAGAAGAAATAAGAAAAGAATGGACATGAAGTAGAAAAGGGTTTTTTCAGCATAAAGCAAAAATCATAAAGGAAAACAATATATTTGAGGAAAAAAAGTTAAAATTCTCTGTATATTAAAACACTGCATGAAATATACAGAGGATGCAATATTTGCAAAATATATGGTAGACAAAGGGTTACTATCCTTAAGCCGTAAAATAAAAGTTCTTTTACATCAACAGGAAAAACAGGAGTACTTAATTGAAAAAATAGGCATAGGACACAAAGAGGCAAATTACAAAAGAAAAATAAACATATGAGTTTATGTTCAACTTTACCAGCACCACACAATGAATTCCATTTTGGGCTATTGAATTGGCAAAGGTTAAAAACCAGAATGAATTCCCTGTGATGGGAAGACAGATTATGGGAAGGCAGGCATTCTTATATAATGCCAGTTCCACAGTATTTCCATGTAGCTGATAGAACAGTGAATAAGAAAGACAGACCTAGCCCCCATGGAACTCTAGGTCTGTGGGGAAACACAGTATCAACAGAGACAGGCCTTAAACAGCCAAAGTCCTTGAATGTTTTCAGGGTAGTGGCAGAGGAGGGCACACATACATTATGTAACTCTTCACCTAACCCTGTAGTGTGCACATGGCTAGCAAGGCTGGAATCTGACCTTTTTGGGATGCATGTGATCTATAGGTACAGTTCGTTGTAAAGATGCAGTGTTTACATAGTAGTGCTTTCCTTTAGAAGACCCTCAGAGGTGGGGTTGGGGCCAGGGTCAGGGAATGGACTCTTTGTCTCTTACTCAACATTAAAAATAAACAAAGAAACAAACAAGTATAAAACTTCCGCTTCTTATAAGGAAAGGAAACTGTAAATATTTATAATTTAATATAAGGGTTGACCTGACACACTGAATATTTTAATTCTGGCATCCTAAGTCAATTCTTATCTTTAATAATGGCTTTCCTCCCACTGTTATTAGCAATTCCTTCCTCTGGTGCATAAGGGAATTTTCCCCCCTGTGAGGGTCTCCAAGCACTTCCAGAAATGCTTGAACAGCAATTAAATGGTTTCTAGGCATTGGGGGTCTCTAGTTCTAACTCAGTTCAAGAGTATATCCTGAGATGTTCATGGTACTCTGGAAAATGACTCTGTCAAAAGCAAAGGGATAGAAGGTCCCTGCCTTGTGTTCCATTTTCGTCAGAAACTGTATTGTGAAGAAGTTGTCAGCTCTGGTAGCTGTCAAACTTGATTTCTGCCATATGCAAGGCTGAGGTGGGAGGATTTTTCCTTCATGGTATTTCAATCATCTTTCTGACCAGTGATGAAACTCTGTAGGAAGATAATTATCATAGCTTTTCTATTTCCTCTTTAGGTCTGAAAATGAAGTATAGAGGATTGTAGAAACCAAAGTAGAATCTCCAGGTTTTCTTCCTTCAAGGTACTTAGCATGGGCTGGGAAAAATCTGATGTATTTAACAAGGATGACTTTGTTGTCAGATACAGTGTTCCAGGAGGGAAGAAAAGTGATGATATGTGTAAATATCTTTCAATGGTAAATATATTGACCCAGTAACTCTAATTCTGAATTTACCTTAAGAAAATAACTAAAGAAATGCTGAAAGTTTCATATACAAACATGATCCTCTCAGTAGTGTTTGTAACAGTAAAATTTTAAACTAAAATTCTATGTAATAGCCTTAAAGCTATTTAATAGAAGATTACTAGGAAATGACATTATTGTTTTCTTAAGACTTTTCTGATATAGAAAAGTGATCCGAGCATATTTTAAATGAAAGTTAGTTTATAAGGTGTGTTTACTACATCCAATATTTTTTAAATGTATATAAGGATGAAAATTACCAAAAGTATATTCATTAAAATGTTAATAGTAATTTTCCCTGAATGATGTTGTTTTGGTTTACATTTTGAAATTTTCTATACTTTATAAATTTTTTTACAGCAATAATCAGGAAAAATGGGTAATTATTTCAAGCATTATGTTTTTGGATTCATACATGCCATTTTATTTTTCTAAATGATGATATAGATGAGGGATTCTGATTTTTCTTTTTATGGCCATGAGTTATGAGGAAATGTTAAAATTTCACTCTTTAAAAAAAATGCTTTTAGTTTCCTGTTAGAAAATTGCAACCTGACTCTAGTAGTTCCTGTTGTTTTCATTTAGGAAAGATAAAAGAGTAAAATTATATCCCAGAACTGTATGAAATGATCCACATTTTAGTGTTTAAGCAAGTTATTCCCAGGTGTGGTTTTGTGATGCTCCATCCTGTTATTTCTAATGAATATTTCTGGTATTATTTCATATATTTCAAAGATTTATCAAAATCTGTGAACCATCTTTTGCCTCACCAACTCTTTAATCTTCTCACATAACCTAATGACTGTGTTCCCTGGTGCCTCTTTCCAAAATGATATGGCTATTTTGAATAACTTTTTTAGACCATTTAAACTACATTTTAACATTTAAGTTATTCTTCTTTGCAAAAGCAGTTTCTGGTCAGTATGGGAAAGGTAAGAAATATAGGTAAATCAAAAGAAGAAAAGATCAAACCCCAAAAGTCCATAGCCCAGACAAGGTCACTCTAAATCCCATGGCAATATGTTCTCTGAGCCTCTTCACACACATAAATTGAGGACAAAATCTGGATTCTGGATCTTACTATTTTGTTCTTTGGGGTAAGACACTTAAACTCTCCTAGCCTAGTTCTCTTCACTGACCACTTCACGTGTACCAGTGACCTTCAGGTCTGTTGTGACCATCAAATGAAGTTTTATATGTAAAGAAACTATCATATGCCACAAAGTCTAAACTCTTTGCTATGGCCCATGAGTCACTGTCTCTCTGATATCACCTCCTCCTATTGTTTTTATAATTTGTGCTGGAACTCATTCAACTCTTTGCACATTCAAGCTTCTTTTGCCTCGAGAGCTGTGCACGAGCTGCTCCCTTTTCCCGGGGCCGTTCTTCCACCAGAATTCAAGGACATGCGCCTGTATGTCCTCCAGCCTCTGCTCGGAGATTACTTCTGCCTAAATAGCCTCATCCTCTTACTCAGTGAGTCCTTCCACCTGTGACTGTGTGGTACTTTTTTCTAATAGAAGTTATCACTGCCTAAAATTATATTATGTCCTTTTTTGCTTATTTGTCCCTGTCTTATCTCCCCACTGGTTGCATGTAAGTATCCCCACAGTAGAAACTTTGTTTCCTTTCCTACCATGTCTCTAGCCACAGCTGTTTTTTCCCAGAGAGCACTCAGCATTTGTATGAAGTAAGGCTTGACATCTTTTGGGAGACTGCGATCTACTGCCTTGATACCTAGATCCAGAAAACATAAATCTTCCATATGGGCAATTATTAGTTAAGTTAATAGCAACTAAACTCTCACATGCTTAGCTCTGTGATAGGAACCCTGAAGAACGGAGAAAACATGTGACACGTAGCTCAAGTATGGGACATCTGAGTAACTTATTACCATACATAAGACCCAAGATATCTCATTTAAATTATACCAATAAAATATAAATAACAGATGTAAAGAAGAAAACTGTAAAAAGAAAAAACATAACCATAATTGCAGTTTGATACTACATTTTTGTGGGTATTAGTATTTGAAAGGATAAGCTAGCTTTAAAAAATGATCCCAAAATGTCAGTGGCTTGACTCCATAAAAGTTCATTAAAGGACTCCATTTGATATAGTCCTTCAGGGACAAAGTTTCCTTATATCTTGAGACTCTGTCTACTTCTATGCTCTTGGGTTCCTCTTCTTTCAGCCGGTAAGTGAACAAAGAAAGCAAGAAGTGCATGTTTTATTCAGACCAGACTTGGTATATCATCACTTCTGCTCATATTCTATTGCTGGAACCCTGTCTTGCTACAATACCTAAAGCCAGTGAGCCTGGAAACTATAGTCTAGCTGTGTGACTAAAATGAGAATAATGTAGATTTGGGGAGTAACATACTCTGCTGCAACACTCAAAAACACCTGTCATGTTATTTAATTGAAACTACAAATTGGAGATACAGTCTGCCTGAGAGAGGTTCCTGTCCCACCAGGATAGCTGTTGTCAGCTCACCAGTTCATTTCCACAATAAGCTAAGGAACATGTGGTGAAACTGCTTTCGTTTAATCTTTATCCAAGTACAGGAGCGAAAGGCGTGACTGCGCCGTAACTTCCCAGCAGATTCATCCCCGTGGCCAGGTCAGCCGTCTGTGACGCTGAGGTACAGGCTGTTGCCATGACTTCTGAGTTGACCGTACATTCTGGCTGGTGACAGTCTTGTAGGTTCATTTATCAATCCTTTTATAATGTTACTCCCACTATTCTGAGCACTAATTTTCACTCAGAGCATAAGTAAGATAGACTACATCTTTAGGAACATTTTCAAAATGTTCATGAGCACTTTATTTTCTGAACCTTTGTACATCTGATGATATTTTTCCATTGCTTTTACATATAAAAGACTAACTGGTTGAGAACAAAAGGCTTAATCACAAAACTTCCCCCTCAAATATCTTAAATATGGCAGGAAAGGTACAAGCCAGACTGATTTATTTTTGTTTCCTCACGCTGCCTTATATTTTTACCCAGCTGACATATTCTTTTTTTAACTTTGTCAAAAATATGTTGAGGTTTGTGAATTTTATAAGTGAACATTTTTTAGGTTCCCAAAATTTTCTTTCATAATGTTCTTTCTTTTGTTGCAATAATTTTAATTTCTCACCCTGGAAAACCCACAGCCCTTACTTGGGTTAGATGCCTGTTCTCTGTCCTTCAGAGCTTTCATATCCTCTTTCATCTCTTTAATCTCTTTGTCCTTTTCTTTACAGTCTTAGGAAGATTCTCAAGTTGATTTGCTCCGTGTTTTCATGGCATGAAAGGAGGGCTGTAAGTACAATGTAATGTGAATTATGATGGAACTCTGTATAATGGTCTGGAATCAGAACTGTAGGAGTATTTCATTTTTCCTGAAGTAAAATCCTGGGAAGATTTCACAAAGGGGCTCTGGAAAGATACGTAAATTTTCATTAGCTAAACAAAGCAACAAAGGCCATCTTAGGAATGTATTTAGAGGTCAACCTGTGTCACTGCATAATGTGGTGTTTGCAGGGACCAGAGAGAGGTTTGATGGGGTTGAAGCATCAACTCTGTAGACAGGGGTGGTGGGAAGGAAGCTGTAACACGACACTAGGTCAGAGTGTGATCCAGGTTGCACATGTCTGTGCGCAGTGGGTGAACACAATGGAGGGGAGAAGGAAGAATCTAGCATTAGGACTTAGAAGACTGGTTGGGTGTTTTCTACCTTCAATAAGATAAATAAAGACAGAGGAGCATACTTGCTGGAAGATAACTGGTTCAGTTTTAAAATATTAAGTTTGAATGTCTGTAAGACATTTGGGTGCAATGTCTAGAATCATCTAGAACTATGAGCTTTGAACTATGAAGAGTTCAAACTATGAACTATGATGAGAAATGAGGGCAGGGATGGAGGTTTGAGAGAGTATGCAGTCACATCTTTGTGTTTGAGATTACCCAGCATAAACATCTAGGGCAGGAGAAGAAGCCTTCCTGGACCACTCACCAATATGTCCTTTTAATTCATGGGAGTCGAACTAGAGATTTTCATGAAGGTGAAAGAAGTCAATGGCATAAGTACCTTAGAGTGTCAAGTAAGACAAAGAATGAAAAGCATCGTTTTCCCAACTTGACAAATAGCAGTGATCAAGACCAGGATAAGAGCAGCTACAGCATCAACAGCTTACGATGTTTGCAGAAGCCAGAGTGCTTTGGGCAGAGCAGTAAACGGGAGACAAGGAAGAGAAGGCAACGAAGTGCTTTCTTAGCAAGAACAAAGCCCATTACATCTTTTCTGATAAATCATGTCACAACTCCACACAGCATTTTTATTTCCAGCAAAGTGTTTGCCTCTTTCACTTTTTGATGGTCAATCATGGGGTTGCCAACAAGGGAATGAAGTTGCCAATTTCCCCACATTCATCCATACATACAAACTCCTGCCTGACTATCATGTTATACACAGAGCTATACTTAGAGTAGAAGAGCACAATTGGCATGTTTTAAGTGGAGTACTTAAAGTTTTAGAAAAAAAACACCAATAGAAACTGTTCTGCAAACAACTTTATGTAAAAATGGACCAATACTGTAGGAGGTCTCAGAGTCTCCCTGGGATCACGGCCCCTAAAGACCACCCTGTTGCTTTCATTTTGCCCCCATATTTACACTTTTCACTCCCATCTCTTTGTCCCATTTTAGTCGTCTGTTCAAAGTTGACTAGGTTTGTTCCAGGATTCAGCAAAGAACTCCCAGTTCCTTAAGTGCTGCTGATCCACCGGAAGTACAGAGGTGCCAATCAAGCCACAAAAGTACTATTTTGCATTCTCTCTCCACGTTGGCTCTCCATTCTCCAGCATAACACATACAGATTTCTCACACCTTGTTATTTTCAAGAACTTTCCCTATTAATTTTAGTTGTTAAAAAATCAGTCTGAAGTATAAAAATGTTCTCCTACTCCCAGGCCACCCCCACCCCCACAATCAATTATAATCTACAGCTCAGGTAAATTGCTCCATAGGAAAGATATTTGTCTCCACTCCTCTCTTGTTATTTCTTTTATATCTTTTAAATATTACTACAGTGTAGTAATGCTCACAGAGAAAGGTTGGTTTGGGTAGAATCGCAGTATTTCCGGAATCTCTCACCTGGTCTTAGTCCATCCCCATATCAATAGGTAATTGCAAGGAGGGGTGAGGGCATATCTGGACCAGAGAGCCTGGGTGGGGCCCCTTTTTGCAGCTAGATCATGAGAGACATGGGTGAGCAGAAGTGGACAACTACAGGTTTCTCCCACTTTATTTCTCCCTTTGACTGATTTTGGTTTCAAAGGTAATTTGCTGGGCTGGGAATATATTCCCACCCCAGAGTTACAGTTGGAAAACACAAACAGTATAAAAGGAGGAAAAAAGTCTAAAATAATGCTACAAAGTGGAAAACTACCAATTAGTGTTTTTATTTTGGTGTGGGGCTTTCAAATGTGGCTTTTAATCTTCAGATACTATACACAGAGAAAAATGCACATATACTTTTAGTTAGCTTTTTAAAATTGAAAAGAATATTCATGGATCAAGTACAGGCTGCACACAAAGTTACACACTGAAAAAAAACTTTCTCTCCTGCCCCAAGCACCCTGTCCTGTTCCCTAGAGGAAACCGCTCTGCTGCTTGTTCCGTGCCCTTCCAAAACAGTCAGGGGCATTTAGAGGCATCTTGTACAAATATATTCACTTTTAAATAAACCAAGTATCACACTGTACATACAAAATTTTCCTGCCTTTTCACTTAGCTTCTTAATGTCTTTTCAATGTTTTCAGGAAAATAACTTTTCATTGATTGCATATTATTTATTCATTCATACAATAAATATTTATTGAGCATCTATTATGTAACAGGCACTGTTCTTTGCACTTGAGATACTGTAATAAAGCAGAAAAAAAATCCTACCTCTGTAACAGGAATCTAATTGCACATGTAGGGTGTTTCCAACTTTCCACATTGTAACTATGAATCTTTGTGTTTATAATTATTTCCCTAGGATTTATTTCTAGAAGTGCTCTTATTGCATAGAGTGTATGCATTTTTAAAGGTTCTTTGATAAAAATGCCCAATTACATTCCAAAAAGGCTTATAGAATTTATATCACACACCACACATGAATAAGCATGACTACTTCAGTACTCTCTGATAAACAGTATCTTCCTCTCTTTCAATTATGACAAAATTAAAATTCACCTTTGATCAGACAAAAGTACACAGTTATACTTCAAATACATAACCAAAAAATAACATCAAAATCTGTTTTCAGCCTCAGTACATTTGTATTCAGTGTCAGAAATTTCAGTTCACTTGTAATCTTTTCTAAGGAGTATCTGTAAAAGCTTCAAGTACTCATTATAGACAAAGATTTCATTAAAAAATAATACAAATAAGAGAGTGAAACAGTGTCTCAGCCAAAATTAAGTCACTCTCATATATTGGGAAAACTAGAAACCTGGCTGCCTCAGAAAGCCCTGATTCATTAATACTAATTGATGCTTTTTTTTCCATGCAAGGGAGAAATTGTTTCAGATCCTAATCATGCCTCATTACAGTAACAGCAGGCTGTATTTAATCTGCTACTCAACTTTGCAGTTACAGAATCAGTTGACCTATAATTAAAAGGCATTTAGGTCTTCAGGGAAAGAAAAGTAATTCCTAATGACAAACAGCAGCGATTTAAAACCCCGCCTGCCTCACCCCCATCTGCCCACCTCTGCAATCCTGCTGTCTGTCAGCTTGATTCAATGCTGTTCAGGGAAATGGAAAAACTGTTCCTCCTCCACTCTAAAAGTAAAGTGTAAGAATGAGGATGTGGTGTTTGGAATTACATAAATACCCAAATATGTTATACTGGAATAACATGTTTTTTTTTATATGTAACATTTTTTTCCTAAATATAAAAGTAATCCATACTTAAATTAGAATTTTGGGAAAATACAAAAGATGTAGAAAGATGTAAAAAAAAGCTTGCCATGGAAAATAACCACTATTAATAACCCTGTGTGTTTCCTTTCACTCTTTTCTTTATATGTACATTTATTTTTAGTAAACATACACTTATAGTTTTGTTGATGGCTAGATAATTGAGTGGAGTCAAGGCTGAGAGTTGATAAGCATGCAACTCTACAGTTGAATTGCCTAGACTGGACTCCTGACTCTGTCTCTGTGGCATGTGTGCCTTGGGGCGAGTTACTTAACCTCATAGAACTCAGTTTCCTCATCTGCAAAATGGTGATGAAAATAGCACATACCTCATGAGGTAAGTTAGGAGGTTAAATGAGATATATAAATATGTGGCATCTAATAAGTATGCAACAGATGTCAGCTCGGGTCAATCTTTTTAACATGATTTTTTCCATTTAAACTTATTATCATTGTCTCTGTAACTAGAAAGCATCAAGAACCTCACTTTAAATAGCTCTGTTATTTTGATATTCTGAAATTCTATCACATGGGTGTATTTGTGTTGAAGAATTCCTTTATTATTGGGCATTTAGATAGTTTCCAGTTTTCCACCATTATAAATAGTACTGCTGTGAACTCCCTTTGTTATTATCTCTGGTTTTGTTTTATTTTTAATGAACTCATGCTTTGAAAAATCCTAGCCAAAAACAAACACACAAGTTTTTCATGGACCTACAATCCTCAGCACCGAAGTACTCAAAGTTGTGCTTTTTAGAGAGGGACACACTTTCTTAAGCCTCCGTCTAGATCCTTCTCAGGTCTTATTAGAATAGAAATTACTTTGTTGGAAGTTAGCCCCTAGCAAACTGGCAAATGAAGTCTCACAATTGATGTCAGTGTCTGTTTAAGGAGTTGTTAGACTGTCAATTACATGTCAAAATGATGTTATGAGTCTAGGGAATACTTACTTGAAAGGATAATTACAGACACATCCCTGGGTGAAGGGGAATCAGAAAAAGTAGATTGGTGTTGAATGGAACCCTGCAAGTTCAGGTCCCACATTATGCTGAAGCCGTCCTTACAGTATCTCCATCAGGTAATGGTCTCACCGAGGCTTGAACATTCCCTGGGAGTCTCGTGTGGTCAGAGAACTTGCATGTACAAGTGCCTGCCAATTTCCAGATATTATGCTAGACCCCTGCACAGTAACCCTGCAAGGTGGGTTTTTTTCCTCTTCCTATTTACAGGTGGGAAAATCAGCACAGAGTGGTGAAACAGATGGGCCAGGATTTGAAATCAGATATATATGACTTTTTTTTCTATGATGTCACAACTGATGACCTCACCACAAACCCAAACCTCAAAATT